GACCGTAACCGAGTTATACGTTGGGATATGTCCGAAAGATGACGAGGATTGAAGTTTCGCGTTGACTTCCCCTTATCAACCATATTAACTGTGACTTCTGGAAGTTCATCATCTCGCATAGTTGGACTTTTTCTACAGAAACGCCTTGGGTTGGTCTTTGGCGTTCTGGGGGAGATCCTTTCAAATATCGAGACCCTTTGTGGAGCGGTCTTGGGGCAGCTACACGCTGATAATACTGCCCTGATAATTTTGGTACACGGACAGTGAGAGTCCGCTTCCCGGGTACTTCTCTTTCGAGATTTATTCGTACCCCCAGCCCGATAGTACAACCGTCGTTCCATCGGAGATCCTCTCGAATACCGAGACCCTCTGCGGAGCGGTCTTGGGGCAGCTACACGCTGATAATACTGCCCTGATAATTTTGGTACACGGACAGTGAGAGTCCGCTTCCCGGGTACTTCTCTTTCGAGATTTATTCGTACCCCCAGCCCGATAGTACAACTCATCGACGTTACGGTCAGAGCAACCTATCGGCTGTTTACATAAATTCTCAGGTATAACGCGTTCGTCTGTCTGAAGCGTTTTCCTCTGAGTAAACATTGCCTTGTTGGCATCTACAGGAGTCACACGTTTGGAATCACACCCTTGTGAGGGTGAAACCTTAACGGGCTCCTGGTTTTCTGCACGCACCCCCAAGCGGGCCGTTATGGAAATTAATTCGTTAGGAGGTTGCGTACGACCCCCAGTCTGGATGTTTGCTCGAAGCTCCTTTAACGGTCCCAAGCATTCTTTAATAGGTGCTTTGCCTCGATCCTCGGGTAGAGCACCGACGCAATCCTTCAATGGGACTCTAGATTTGGACGCTGCGGTAGGGCTTTAGTGCGGGAGCAGGATCTGGAGTTGACGAAGGCCGGAGAGCAACGTCGCCTGCTTTTGCCTTAGGCGCCGATTTGGCTTTTGGCATCCAAACTTGTTTGGATCTCGACGATCTCTTAACTGCCTCGTTCTTTTGCATTTCATGTGCTTTTCGCACAAGGGTCCGGGCATGCGCAAGCAAGGTGCGGCACTTCTGGATTCGCTCCTCGAGAGTAGAGCGGGTTCTTTTGACACGAACACATTCGTTAATTGGAGATCGAGAGGAGGATTCTGATGCGGGTCGTGGTGATAGATTAGCCACTTGGCGCTTTCTGAACTCCAGATCTGCTTGGTAATGGAGTCCATCCACCTGATCCAAAGCCTTGGCGAATTGGCGCGCGAGGCGTTGGCGTTTCCTTTGACGTGCTCTCTATGATAGAGTTAGCGCGCCTTCAGCAGTCGGCTCCTTGATCGCGAAGGAGTTCAGATCTGCAGATCTGGTCTCATTGGATGCCGGCAGACCGTTACAAGGTACGACTGTAGCATCGGCTACGGGGAGATCGATTTCTTGGGTCTTCAGATCTGGAGACCGACGGATCTTCTGGGAGGAGGAGGCCTTCCTGCACTTGCAAGGAGAGGCAGATCTGGAGGAGGAGGAGGAGGAGACATACTCCTTGAACTTCTGCTGGTCGAACTCGTATCCGACTTCCTCAGCCACGAGGATCTTGATCGTTGGCTGCGGCACGACAACCTCGGCAGCGAGGCTGTTGGCTCCCACTGTGGTCGCCAGTTTGTTTTCGGAAAAAGTTACCTTCGTTGTTGAATTCATTATAATTTGGATTGCTTACAAAGAATTCAAAACATTCAATAAAAAGAATAACGAAAATGAAAGATTACAACTTTTCGAAAATAACGCAAGATCCGTTAGTCGTTTCTTGCTTGCGTGGGTCTTTAGTCGGTGACGGGGACGTCGATATCCGTGGACTACCTAGCAATCAGATCAGGTTTAGAATTCCGTCGATCCGCGAAGGAACCTAGAAGCATAAGCGCTTATCTCGACAACAGCGAGATAATTGCTCTTCTTAGAATTACCACAACGGGATAATACTAAGGATTGGATGCGGGTGATGCAGATCTGACGACTCTCGATCTCTTGCGTTGAAGAACTCGATCACTCTTCAGTCCGGCAGGGCTTCGCCAATTCTCCAAAACTCCAGATCTGAAAAAATGAGGCTCCGGGGTCCGTATTTATAGGCTCCAGGGGGTTTCGGGTGGTTAAAACCACCTAAAAGGCCACTTCTGCGTTGGAGACACCCCATGGTGTCTCAAACTGGGCCAAGACACCCTAGGGTGTCTCGGCCTTGGCCGAGACACCCAAGGGTGGTGTCTCGGCTTGGGCCGAGACACCTCGGGGTGTCTCATTCAAGCTGAGACGCCGTGTTATGCCTGTTTCATTGTTTCCGCCGTAAATTCTTCGTCCGAACTCGGATTTGAGTGATTCAAAGTGCGTTGGAAAGCCGACGAGGCGTTCTATAAGCTCCAATGATTAAATCATCTGCGGAATAAATGAGACACGAAGGGTATTTCACCGTTTGTGAAAGATACGAGGTTCCCGACCGGTTCATATCTTCATCATTCCGAAGTTCCGTTGTTTCACATAGTTCGTCAGTTTACTTCAAGCGTTCACCGACATCAATCAAGCTTCTGTGAACCAGATGGTGACGTTCATCGTTATTTCTTAACACTGAGCTGTTCGTGGAGACCTATAGGCAATTTTCGATGCCTACATTCCTCTCCCTTGTATCTCCACGACCGAGCCATCGCCGAATTTGACTCTGCCGCACACCTTCTCATCGAGGTCTGAGAATTTCTTCCTACAACCAGTTATATGGTTGCTAGCACCAGTATCCAGGTACCAAATGTCGGTCTCGTAGATCACTTCTTCGCTGCTCAGCTTTGGCTTCATATTTTCTTCGTGAAACATCATATTTTCTCCCTCTCCTTGAGTCGTGTACAGGGACTCGCACTCCTCGGTCAGAAGTAATGTAGGTTCATCGTCGTGTTGCTTTTCAGCAAAGTGGGCTCTCTCCTCCTTCGGCTTTCGGCATTCAAAAGCATAATGACCATGATTCTGACAGTTATACCAGCGGACCTTCGCCTTGTCGAACTTGTGATATTTCTTGCTAGAGTCGTTGGAGCGCTCCTCATCGCTGCGCCCATGTCCCCGGCCACGGCCACGACCACCGCCGCGCCCACGACTACCTCCTCCATCTCGCTCTTTCCAGCCACTACCGAAGCCCTCGCCTCCTTTCTTCTTCGCCTTGGCCTCCCATTCAGCCCTCATCAGCAGTGAGTGCTCACCCTCCTTGTCGTCAAAACCTCGTTGCCGCTCCTCATGTGCTTTGAGCCGGCCAAACACCTCCTTGGCCGTCATCTCCCTCAAGTTACCGAACTGCTTCAATGTGGAAGCAATTTGTAGGAACTTTGGTGTCACTGCTCGTAACACCTTCTCCACCACAGCAATGTCATCCATCTTCTCCCCCATGGCGCGCATCTTGCTGACCACCGTGGTCAGCTGCATAGCGAACTCATCGACGGACTCCTCTTATCGCATACGGAGAGCCTCGAATTCTTTCTTGAGGGTCTGCAGTTTCGCCCTCATCACACGATCGGCCCCCACGTACATGAACTTCAACGCAGCCCACGCATCTTTGGCCGTCATCTTCTCGGCGAGGAGAAGGAGGATCGCTTCATTCACCCCCTGGTAGATGGCCGCGAGTGCTATCTTGTCGCGTCGGTTGTCGACTCTACCCTCGGCCTCGACGGCGTCCCACACGCCCTGAGCCTGCATGTAGACCTTCATTTTTATGGACCACGTCGGATAGTTGCTGCTTGTTAGCAGCGAGTATTTGAGTGTAATACTCTCCTCTCTTCCCTCATTTGATGTCGCTTCTCCGCCAGTGACATGACTCGACGATGACGGGGACTCCGATCTTGCCATGATCTTAGGCATTCACACACCGCAGCGCTCTGATACCAAATGTAGAAAATTG